TTTTTTCTTGGTTTCCCAGGGTCTCATGTACGTATTTACTTAATTCTTCAAACTTTTTGTTATACATCTCATCCATTTCTATAAGGGTGTTTTTTACATATTGTTTAAGGGACTCTATTGCTTTCATAAAGACAATTTTTTCCACTTCTTCTGTGTTAGGGTGTTCAAGTCTTTCTGTTGTAAGATCTTTGGGTTCTGGTGTTTTCATGTTGTTTTTCTGATTATTGGGTGATGTTCTGCCTTGGCGCCTGCCCATCTCCTCCTTTCAATGCTATCTAATTGGTCTTTTAAAATCGGATCAGGTTTCTCTGCTGGCCGGAGGCTTCTCTTACTAATTTCCTCGCTCTGTTTCCTGGCTCCTGCCCTGGGCCAAGAACCCTCTCACCCCTCAGAAGGGTTTTGAGGAACAGGACCCGGCTCCCCGTTTGCCAGGGACCTCGCCAACCAAAGGCCTACCTCTTTGATTTAATTGGAGTGGGGAGATCTGCTCTCGGTGTTGCTCGGTAGTCCCTGCCGCCTGCGTCCTCTGCCACTGCGCCAGTCCCCGCCTGTCCTAGCCAAAGCCTGTGGCCTGCGTTGCCCGCCTGCGTCGCTAGCTCCTTCTGAGGGCGCCTGTGTTGCTCCTACAGGTAACGATTCTGCATCTGTTGTGTGGGTTACTTGTAGTCACATGGGAAGCTGGGAAACCAACTTCGTACTGCATCTATTCATTCACCTAGTGTGTGTGAGTACGGTGCACACGTCGCAGCTTGCCTGTGGAGGTCAGAGGTCAGCTTTCAGGCTGCAGATCCCAGAGACTGAACTCAAGTTGTCAGGCTTGGTGGCAAGCGTCTTTATCCACTGAGCCATGTTGCTACCCCTGGAGCTTTGTGTGGGGTGTGTGTTATTTCTTTCTTTTAAAATGTATTGCTATCATCACAGTGAAAAGGAGAAAGAAGGAGACAAACAGCTAGGCAGTCTTTGCCTCTTTGTGGTTCTTCCTTGAGCCTTGGGACACAGAGGACCCTGATCCGAGGCCTGCAGAAGCACAGAGGAGCAGTGAGGTTAACAAGCTAGTTCACACAGCTTCGTTGTGCACAGCATGTCTACGGCTTGAACACGCTGGGCCTGCCCAGCTTCTGCACCATGACACATAAACCCCGTTAAAAACCTGAGGGACTGAAGGGCCACCTGAGCTTCATGTGGAGAACTGTCAGGATCTGCAAGGAACACGGCTGCTGTGACATCTGAGCCATGCCCAACTCTTTCCAACATGGGGACAGAACAAGTTAAAGAAACCTTCCTTCCCCTGGGACTCCCAAACTAACCACACATGGAGCAGACTCTTCATGTCAGCCTTTGGCAAAGTCTGAAGCAGCAAGCCAGGGCTCCATGACTGGGGCGGTGGGCAGAGCAGGGGGCTGGCAGTAAGAACAGGGGAGGTTTTATGCACCTAGTGGCACCCATGGGGGCCTCCTGAAGGAAGCAGAGTTTGTCCTACTACTTGTTGTGATTGGCTGAGCAGTAGACAGACACACCACACAGGCAGCAGGGAGAGCCAGCAGAAGGATTTTGTGCGGCCCAAGCTGAGAAGTGAAGGACGGTGTGTGATCCAAGCTGCAATGGACCTGAGGCTCTGTGCCCTGGCTGAGGACACAGGAGAGGTTCTGGGAGGCTTCCTGGCCACTTGTGGGTAAATTTTGCCTGATAAGAAGACAGGGAGGAGATCTCGAGACACTGGCAAGCTTCCAGTCTCAAATGCTTCTGGGTCTTCCTCTCCCTGCCTCCCCAAGGCCCCAAACACACAGTGAGCTCTGATGGGAAGGGGTAGGATCATCTCCGGGAACCATTGCTAGGACACTTGATGCCATCAGAGCTTTGTGTCTCTTCAGATGAAGTTATGATGCTTATTTTCATGTAAAATCTTTGTACTCAAAAATCGACTTCAATCAAAGCAGGACTGCCCACAGAGGCCTCCAATGAGTGACACTTGGTTTGAGATCAGGAGATATCTATTAAAAGGACCTCCACATTTTACACAAGCCTAAAGAGAAAATAGAATTCAGAATGTTTCTAATAGGATGGGTGGTGGTTGCACACACCTTTAATCCCATTACTCGGGAGGCAGAGGCAGGTGGATCTCTGAGTTTGAGGCCAGCCTGGTCTACAGAGCAAGTTCCTGTACAGCCAGGGCTACACAGAGAAACCCTGTGCCAAAAAAAAAAAAAAAAGTTTGTAACAAGTTTAACTCTCAGGTCAGAATGGGCTAATGACAAAAATGTCCCTGCAAAGCTGCCTGGATGTGTCAGGCTTTGTGATTCTCCCATCATTGAAGGCATTTGCATGAGAAATCGATTTCTCCAAGATTGGGGATTGTTAGGTTCTGCAGCCACCACCTCCAATCTGTGGCCAGCCAGGGCTGTCAGTGGAACTGCGGCAGAAGGAGGCAGTAAACAGACGTCTTCAGGTGGCCAAGAGGCGGCTCGAGCAGATGGACGCAACAACAAGGCCACCCAGCAAATGCCCATCCTAACTCAGGATGCAGGAGGACGTGGATGGAACACAGCACTCGGTAAAAGATGGCCCGAGAAACCCCAATGGCAGCTCAATAGTAAAATATGGTAAATCTCCGCCTTCCAATTTATCTGGGTATGTTCAGTCTTGCAAATTAAATTTCACCACCTGCTCACGACTGTTCTCTCTCTCCTTTCCACTTTGGCTTAAATGTTGCTTCGTTATGAATTAATAATATTTATACCATATGCTGGGTTGAACCAAGTGCCCTTCGCAGGAGCACACCGAAACACATATTCCCAGCACGGTGCACACACCTCGCAAGGTTCCCACACAGATGCCCCAAGTGAAACTTGGCTTTCACATCTACTACCCACTCTGTTTCTCTCCACGTTCCTTGAAAAGACCGAGAAGAGAAGAAAATAATCCACGGTCCGCTTGGATTTATTTTCGGTGTCCATCTCTCAGAACTCGCAGCACAGATCAGCAGTTTTCACAGCGAATTATGCTAATGCCCGCCCAGCCATCTTCCACTCTTCTCTTGCTCCACGAATGAGAAATAAGAAACTGTCATTCTCCCGTCTAGACACTCTAACCAGCCTCCAGTCATTTCCTCAGCAGCCGAGTATCATCAGGCAGCACGTATCTTCACTGTGAACTGAGCTCTGCTTTTTAGTTTTTTGTTTTTTGGAAATTTTATTTTCTAACAATTGCCAGGATGTGGAGGCTTCCTTTGAGAGAGATTGGTCTGTATTAGCTCCTGTCAACGGGTCACTAGTGGGGGTGGGAGACATCATAGAACTCATGGAGGACACTTCCCAGTGTCCTCACTGTCCACTGAATGCAGCTACACAGTCAACAGTTGGCCCCAGCCAGGCTCCTTCCCAGGACACTCGCTGCTTCTGATCCCAGGTCTCTGTTTGAATTAAAGGACGCATTTTCCCTCTTTCTCCCTTTCCCTTTTACTTCTCTTTTGTTACAAACACTTGATAAATTGTCACCTCCTATATTTTATTTAGGAGTTGAGTGTGGTGGGCATGCCCTTAATTCCAGCTCTTTGGAGGCAGAGGCAGGTAGATCTCTGTTCTAGGCCAGTCTGATATGCTTCATAATAGATAGCTGTAGGGTTTTTCCCTCTGAGAGGCATGAGAGGTTAAAATGTTCTAGAATAGAAGTAGAAGGAGCCCACTGTCCCCCTTAACATTAACTCCTTAGTGACTTTGAAACTGTCCCTTCTGTGACCATTCCTTCCCAGAAACCGTGTGCGATTCTTCTCCACAGCCTTGAAAACCGTGGATGTTCTAAACCACAGACACCTCTTTCCTCCCCTCACAAATATTTAGTGATTTGTCCCCCCCCCTTTTCTAAAATAAATATGGATATTTGCCTTTTACCTTACAGAAACCTCTGGAGGGAAGAAAAGCAGCTCTTTTTTCACCACAAAGAAGGATGAACATAAAAGAAATTCTATAAATAGGATTTTGTGGAGTGTAAAAAGTTGGTCCCTAAATTTCCCAAGAGACATAGGCAGTTAGAGGAAATGGATGATGGTTTCAAAGCTTCCCCCACGCTCAGGCTCCTAATGAACTTCAGTGATTTGTGATCTCTCCCGTCATGTGTACTCAGATTACTTCCATTCCAAAAAAAGAGAAACAACAAGAAACACAAAAGTCATCACTTTCAGCCGATTCTTCATCACTAGGCAAGACTTTGATTGTTGTCGGCTTCTTCTCCACATGTGCCCAGCATGGAGCGCCAGTGCCAGGGCCTTGTCTGGTGGGTAGCCTCGGTCCCCTCAGACAAACAAAAAGAACTTCTATGGCATGCTCAGAATCACGCAGCAAAACCCAAGGTCCACTTCTTTTCTAGAAAATGTCTAGCCTCTCCCATACCCGGTTTCTCAGAGTGCTCTTCCTCCTAAGATCTTCCCCTTCCACCTGTTCATTGAGGGAGCTGATCCCAGGGCACGAGGGGAAGTTGTGTTCCATGACTGAAACGACCTGGCCATCACACGCCATCTCCTGCACAGCTCTGAGAGCTGTGCCACCCGTCACTGGGCCCCGAATATGGGTACCCACCATGACAGGAGATGAGCTCTGTATTCAGTGGCTGTATGAATCAAAAGCGTTATTCCAAATATTTGATGTTAGCTTCTATTTGAGCTAAATAGACTCTGTTTGAGCCCCGAAAATGTCTGGTAGCCAAAGGACGAACCCAGAAGCCCCTGCCTTCATGAGCTCCTAGTTATGTCCCAGAAACCCCTATCCCAAAACTTCCCAGCAGGCGTCCAGCCCTTAGGCCACTAGACTGAGAGTTTGTATCTTGATCCTAGGCTCCTTCTGGGACCGCCAGCTGGACCACCTCCCTTTGTTTCCAAGGGGAGATGGGGTACAGTTTTGAGCCGTGTGACCTTCAGCATGTCCTGACCCCCCTCTGTGCCTCATCTTTCCCCCACTGAAATGGGACTGGGACCCCTCCCTCATAGGTGCTTACAAGGGCTCTGAGACCTTGGGAAGGATATGGTGCCCAAGAAGGACCTACAGAATCCAAACCTCTTTAAGCATTTCGTGCCTCCTGCAGCCGACACGGATGGTCCTCCTCTCTAACTGCAGGCACCGTAATCAACTGTATTTGCCAGTATTGCTGGGGAGGATGAGTTACCTTGGAAAGGGGATAAAGGGAGAATTCTCCCTGGTAAATTACGGCTTCTACTAAGATTTGACACTTCTATTTTCTTCCTGTCAGGAAAAAAAAATAACTATATACCAGTGGTCAGTTCAGTTTCCGGTTTTAACCTTCATTAACCCACGGAGCAAGCCAGGCAGCTCTCCGTCCTCCCAAGGAACAGGTAGTCCTAGAACACTGATGCGGAAAGAGCTATGGCTTTTCCTAATGAAGCCTTGGGAATCAGCAGCGTCCACCGACAGCATGACTCGAGAGACTACTGTCCCTAGCAGAATCCACCAGAGATAGCATCTCCTGACCGGCGACATGAAAAGCTCAGTGCCCACTGACTCAGTCACTAGGCGCTGACATGCTTTGAAGTCTGCCACGGCACCTTGTGACTGAAATATGGAAAGGGATGTGACTTGTTGGTCTGAGGAGGGGAGGGAGGGGCAAGCAAGTGTGCCAGGGCAGAAGGTGCAGGGACCTCATCCAGGCACCGTGCTGGGCATACTCACAACCACCATAGTTAAGGAGCGGACCTGAATCTGGATAGGGGCCTCTAGGTGGCAATCATAATTGTCAATCAAAACCTCACCTGTCTGGCACCTACGGGAACTGTTCACACAAGGAGCAATGACAAATGGCCGTCAGAGAAGCACTTTGTCATCCACTGGGGTACGGATGAGATGCATTGGAACTGTCCGGAAGTGTCGGTGTAGCTCTGACAGAGCCCAGAGTCCAGCCTTCAGGTTTCTTAGGAAATCCCACCTCCTAGAGCAATCGTGTCCAGAGGGCGGTGGGAGAGGTGGACAAGCCAACGGCTGGCCTAGGCTCTCTTGTCCTAGGTTTCATTACCTCAAAAGGACAGTGAAAGTTTGGACCTGTTGCCTGAGAGAGAAAACTGGAGAGCAAGAAGAAATGAGGACTAAGGCATGCCACGAGCCTCCCAGGCACCCGGCAGCACACAGTTGCCCACAGACGTTCCCTGCTTCCCTCGGCAGCCATGTGGGCAGGCGGGACCTTCAACTCAGAGATCGAGAAACAAAGGTGTGTGGAGAGATTTAAGAAAACTACCCACAATCAAGCATCTAAATGCTGTTTACCCACTTCTCCAGACCAAATAAATGAGTGGAGGGGATGGGACTCCAAACGCCCCCTCCGTGGCTGAGGCAGAGCACTGCTGCTGACATCAGATTTATGTCCCGTTCTTTGGTGTCCCTGCACCCGAGCAGAAGGAGCATCAGAACATCCACCCTCCTCCTGGCTCCAGATGACCAGTAACAAACTTGCAGCATGGTGTAGAAGGCTCTCCAGTGACTTGGGGCCAGCCTGTGCCAAAAAAGAACATGGCTCTGCCTGCGCTTTCCACTCTGCTTGTCTGGGCCTGTGTGTGAGGATTCGGGGCTTGTATAAAGCCATCAGGGTGACAAAGTAAGAGAGGTGAAGTAGAAACACATCAGGCTTCTTGTCTACATGTTCGGCCTCAGGGACTCCTCTGGTAAGATCCGGGAGGAACAGCTCCCAGACCACAGAGATGACTTCAGTCACTTCAGTGGTGAGCTGTCGTTGCCAGTCCATGTGACTGTGACACAGTCAGCTGCCTGTAGTGACAGGAGAGGGCAGTACTCATATTCTGAAACAGTAAGAAGATGAATACACAAAAAAGTATTTCCTGACGATGGAGTTCCTTGGGTTGTGGTGTGGCTCAGCTGATAAAATACTTGCCTACCATGGATGAGGCTCTGGGTTCCATCCCCAGGACCACTTTAGAAACCAGATGTGGTAGCGCACACCTGTAATCCCAGCACTTGGGGGTGGAGGCAGGAGGATCATCCTCAGCCATATAGTGAGTTTGAGGCCAGCCTGGGCTATATGAGACCCTATTGCAATAATAATAGTAGTAATAATGATACTAAGAAAGAGAAAGAGAGAGCCTTGCCTCCCTTTGAGAGCGGGCAGGGTCTTCAGGACTGTATGAGGTGCAGCAGACAGAACGAAAACACTAAAGCAGAAAGGCTGGAAAAGCGAGTGGCTTGCCTGGGTTCTCAGTGGCAGAGGCAGGATTTGGCTCAATGATGGCTTTCTCCACAGCCTTGCTCTCAGCAGGTCCACTCATTAGTCCTCACTAAAGCCGTAGTCTCCAACCCCCAGTTCCCACTCACAACCTTCTCGCCACTGTTCCTCTGCTGATCGCCAAGAATTCTGGGGAGAAAAACATGGCCTGAGCAAAGACATGGTCTCCATTTGAGCAGCTCCTGTGGCTTGAACAACAGAAGCTGACTTCTCACAGTCTGGAAGCTGGAGGCCATGGCCACAGCCCTGGCAGAGAGGGGACTGCTGAAAGCTTGACCCGGCTTTTGCAGCTGCTTTCTCTGTGCTGAGGAGAAGGGAAACCGGCCAGCTCTCCTCCCCTTAGTGTCCTCATACAAGGACACCAATAGATCTGCTAGGGCCCCACCCACATGACCTCTAAAGTACCAAAGATCCCCCCCCCCCGTGTGTTTCAAGGGGGCACAAATGTTCAGTCTCATAGGCTTGAATGAAAAGGGGCCGGAAGTTTGTACCGTAGAATAACATGTCTTCTTCCCTGTCACGGCAGGAACTGCAAGCTGAGTAGCAGCAGCCTGTCCATGGCTGCAGTGGACATCCTCTACATTGACATCACAAGGAGGTGGAACTCCGTGGCCCTCGACCAGCGGGACTCAGGTACTCGATGGCTGCCTTCACATCCCATGGTGCCCTTGCACGACAGGTGTGGAGGGGTCTGCACAGCTTCAGGCCTTTATATTGTGGAAGGGAGAGGGAAGGAGAATTTAAAGCCTGAGGCACTGTCTGCTACCAAGGCTGTGTAACCCCTCCCAGATTCCAGTCCCACCAGAAGTTTCACTGTCCCACTACACCCCACCAACACCCCACCCCATCCCCCTCTAAGGCTCTGACTTAATCACTTCTAGAGGTAGACTGCTGTTCATTTATTTGTTTGTGGCCCTGCAGACACTTGTTGAGAACACAGTGGTTAGGCCTTCAGTAGACTAGAGAGCTTGGCTCTTGCCTGGAAAGAATGCTGTGGACTTGAGACACATGAGAAATGACGCTAACATAGTGAGGGTGGGGTTGAACGAGAATGGGGGTGTTCCTCCTCCCAGGAGGACACAGAAGACCTCTTGAGGAAGAACCCACTGGATAAATGAGTGGCTAGGGTGAGGATGGACCTGAGCAGGAATGCGGGCCTGCCTACACAGGAACATGTGGAAAAAGCCATTGAGCCCAGGCTACCCCAACTAGCTACAATGGAGGAAAGCGAAGAAAGCGAAGCAGGCAAGGCTTATGGCAAACTTTAGATGCCACACAAAGGCCTTAACTATGGTAGCCGCTGCTTTGCTCTTTCCTTGTTTCCTTGTTGATTTTTCTGCTAGCAGACTCTACCTTTGAGTTGACGGGTTTCCCATCTCCACTCTCTAATAACCATAAAGGACATTTGATCAGCTCATCACAAAACCACCAAGATCCTCTCATTATGTCCCTGTGACCCGGCACTGAGGGGTTAGGAGCCTCATTTCACCATCACCTGTGGCTCTAGTGACCCAGGTACACCAGGCACCATCCTCCCGCCCTCACACACAAGTAGAGAACACACCTGCCAGGTCGTCTTGCTCCTCCTGTGAGTGGGCAGAGAAGACTTGAAGTCAGAAGCTGAAAGATCTAGATGAGAAGTGGCTATAGTCTCTTGCCAACATCGGCCAGAAATCAGGTCGCCCCTTCTCTGGAGCTTCTCATCCGTGTATGTGTGTATTTTCTCTAAATGGCGCATACATTAGTGGCTACTAATGCCTTTGGGGTCACTGCCAACCGTTCAGGGTGGTTAACCTTACTAGTGGATTCTTTCCTGTCTTACTGCTGGGGGAGACTCTCAGGAGAGGCTATGTGACCACTGGTGACAAACCCTTCACCAATGTGGGCTAGAAATGTCAACCACAAGGACACAGCTAACCCACCCTGCAAAGCGCTGGCACTCAGAAATCATTTGAGGTTAGCTCCATATTTGATAACAATACCACTTGTTGGCTGTTGCCTGTATGCCGAGCATGACCACAAGCTTTTCATGGGTGGCACCAGCTGCCATTCCAGGGATAGGCCTGACCGTGTCCATTGTTCAGAGGAGGAAATTGAGTCTCAGAAGAAAAATGGCTCAAGGCTTCCTGTCTGGGTCACTTCCTCCTACCCACTGTCGGGGTGCTGGTAAGATGGCTGCTTGCTGCTCCGCTTAGTTCCAAAGCGAAAGTTGGGCAACGCTAGCAGCCATTGAGCCAACAAGGTGAGCATACATCTTCAGCTGGCAGGGCCTTCCAGACTCCCCAGCAGGAAAGGAGGAGGGCGCACCTGCAGGACATGCAGGCAGGATAATTATCATCTCAAGGACTAAGGGAGCCCATTTGACAGTTGCACTGTGTCACATTCTGCTGACATCCTCAGAAAGAGAAGAACTGCTTGGTCCACGAGCTGAACGCCGGGTGTCATGGCAGGATCCTGTGGAGGGGGCCAGATGAGTGGGTGGGGGTGCATGGAATTATTAAATATTGAAATTGATCACGAGTCACAGTGGGAAGCTATTTATCATGTTCTATTGCTGCCAGCCAGCATTGCCATCTGGCCCATTGTTCATCCCCAATAGCTTCGCTTGTTTTGCATGCTCCTAAAATCACTCCTCGTAAGCAGAATCCTTGGGGGAGGGGAGCTTGCACAATATCAGCTCCACAAAGACCTTCTGGGGTCTACTTTGCTGACCAAACCAAGAAAACGAGAAATACATTTACCACCATTGAAGCTGGGGCTGGAATCCTTGGAAATTCTGCATCCATCTGCAGCCGGAAGGTGTAGAGCAGTAACTATAGGTCATGCGGGACTTTTAGAGACTTCTTCATGTGGCCATTTACTGTGGCTTAGTCTCACAGCTTTGTTATGCGAGATCACACCTCATTTCACAGGTTCCAAGAGCAAAGGGACTTGTTTACAGTCTCATAGCCAATGAGTGGCAAAGGCCAGATTTGAACTCAGGACTCAGCTGCCTGGCCCCAGCCACTGTCTCTAACATAGACGTACACCAGACGATGTCTGTTCCCTGTACAGCTGGGCAGGGGACAGGGCTTGTGTGACAGAACTCAGGTGATGCAGAGGCTGGCAGGTGTGCTGACAGCAACACTATGTGTCTCAAAGAGCTGGGAGAGAGGATTTCAGGACCTCACGACAGAGAAATGATGGTATTTTATAGGATGGATATGCTAATCAGCCGGATGTGATGTCACGTGTGCTTACATGGACTGACCCTCACACTTTGTTTCATAAATGCGTGTAAATTCTTATATCAAGATCATTTTACATATCAAGATCATCTGAAAGATCACTTCACTCAGTACAGAAACCCACAGGGGCACAACTGGAGTATGTGGGCTGTGGATGTCTTCTCCAAGTCGCGTCCCCCACCCTCGTCTTCGGAGCCTATTTTCCTGTTTGCATTGTTTTAGAGAAAAACGGCAGGGGTTGGTGGCCTAGGAATGGAAGCCATTCTGTGGGGACGGAGGCCCTGTTATCCCAGCTGCCAACCAGGTCACTGTTGAGTCCTTCTCAAGGTTGGCCCAGTCGTGTGTCCGAATCCCCACCGGTCGTCGTCCCCCCTCCCCGCAGGAAAGGCCTACCTGGGCCATTCAAGATGCTCGCAGAGAGCAGAGAAATCTGTGCCTGGGTGTGGTTCTTGCTTTTGGGACGAAGCAGCAGTCCCTCCTTCCTCCCCCCAAGTCTTTCCCTCCCTCCTCTTCTCTCCTTCCCATCTGTCCATCTCTTTGCTTCTTTCCTCTTCCTTTTCTGGTATGGAGCCAAGTGATTGATCTTCAGGCCTCCATTCCAGTGAGTCTGTGTACGTCTGTATCTGTCCAAGTGTGTGTCTGTCTGTGTCTCTGTGGCTGTCTATGTGTCCCAATTACTATTTAATAAGTTGACAAACTGAAATTAAGGTTACCACATACTCGAAGCAGGGAATTCTAAGTGGAAAAGTCACAGCCTGCAGAAGCAGTGGGCTCACTGGCAAGGCCTTACTCCCACCCCCGAATGCCCAGTGCGATTCACTCAGTGATGTGGGACTACCGTCCACCCCAGCAGCAGCAGAGTCAAAGCACCATGGGACCCTCCCTTTCCCCAGCACCTGTGCTCCGGAGAAAGGGTGACCCAGACATCCCTGTGGGCGAGAGCACGTGAACAAAGGCAGCCTATGACCGGGGACTTTCCTACTGACTTGGAGAAAACCAGCATGGAGAACATGGGTTAGGAAAAGGTCAAAAGTTGTGAGAAAAAGTACCCGCGCTAGGGATGTAATAACTCAGGGGCATCATCTCAGCAGCCTTGGTCCTGACTGTGAGCTTTGCTTCCTGTTGGGCCACCGCTGTGGAGCTGACTTCAGTGTCCTCGGATACTGAGTGGCTTCCACCATGTCCCTGCCCAGGTGCCAGCGCCCGTGTGCAGGTGCGTGTTGTGTGTCTGGGGAGAGGGTGTGTGCACACGGATGTGAATGTAGAAAGCGAAGGATAACCTCGGCTGCCATTCCTCCGGTAACATTCAATTGATTTTCAAAATGGGGTCTCTCGTTTGCCTGGATCTCACCTAGTAGGCCACGCTAGCTGGCCCAGTGCCCAGGGATCCACCAATCCTCTCTCCCCGGCACTAGGACCACAAGTCTGCGCCACCACACCTGCGAGGTTCTCGTCTGAGACCGTGCTTGCAAAGCTGGCATTTCACCGACTACGCTCTCACCCCTGCCCTGCAATTAGGTATTTTCAGTTATGGAATGAGCACCCAGAAGACTCACCCAAAACAAAAGCCAGACTTCACAGCAACAGCCTCTCGGGTGTGGCTCCCTGGTTTGGCCTGTTCCCCTCCATCGTGGAGCCCTTGTCTGTCCCCTGGATAATCTCTCACAATGTCAGGTCTGCTCAGGAGCTTGGAAGAACTTAACAAACACATCCCACCCTCCAGCACGCGTGTGTAATTGTCATTTTTTCCCCAAAATTATGGATTTTCATTTCCATCCTTAGAATTTCCAGCCCAACACAAAAGTCTAAATGAGGCTGTTATCAGCAAAACTGGAATGCTACTGCCTTCTTCTGGGCCGGAACCAAATGAGAAATTGAATCTTTGTGCAGAGGTGCAGTGATTTCAGTAAATGGTACTCACAACTTCTTATCGCCTCAGACTTTGCTCTCTGCTCCTGCCAGAGATGGCCAGCCCATCTCTGTGGGAGAAATGAGGACAGCATCCTGATCAGGCAACAAAGTGTCCTTGTCATTGGTGCCACAGTCACCTGCACGGGGGGGGGGGGGGGGGGGGGCTGGCCCGGCAGCAGGGCATCACCCTCTAACATGTCGGACACTGGGGGACTCTGTTTTCTTTGCAGCCGGGTGCTCTCCTGTTTGAGAAGAAAGCTGTGCCAGGTCTGGCAGCACACACCTGGAATCCCAGGCTGGCAGGAAGCTAGTCTGTGCTTTCCAGGGAGGCTCAGTCTCAACAAAAGGGAGAAGAATAAAAAACAAAGGGGGCTTAAAGGTTCTTCTCAGGACCCAGAGAGGGAAATCGAAGACTACATAGTTTAATATCTGATTATACTAGGCACCCTTCCACCAAATGAAAATGTCATCTCTTTGCTGTGCCCCTGGGCTACGCGTCCCCTCCTCTGCAGCCCAGGTTGTGAGTGGCTATCTTTTTCCCTTTTTAGATTTATTTGTTTTGATATTCA